CGAGCAGCCCTGGTTCGGGAGGTGACCGTCTGCCTCTTAGCAGTGGAGGGCACTTCTTGAGGTACATCTTCCTTGGGTGTACAACCCTGCAGGGAAAGAAAATAGCTGTCAATTTCTTCCTCTGCCTCCCTGATTCCCCTCAGCCTGCTAACCTTCTCCTGGAGCTCCCTCACCTGCACCTCCAGGGCCCTAAGGCAGGCACCTGTAGGACAGGTGTGGGGGTCCCCAGTCCCTGCCCCCCCCTGGCCTTGCTGGGCAACTCCTGCAGGCCAGGGGGTTGGGGGATGCCAGCCCCCCTGTGGGCTCTGTCTGGGTGGAGGCCTCAGACAAGCCCCAGGAAGGCTGCGCCCCCCAGGCAGGGGCCCTGGCAGCACTCTGTGTCGACACCATCATAGGAGTTGCTGCCTGTTTCTGGCTGAGTGTGGTGCCTTCACCCCACACTAGCAGGAGTCTCCCTCTGGCCCTTCCTGCTCGCCCACCGGCGCGAATGCCAATGCAAACGCCGGTGCGCTCTTACAGAACGTGCCTGTTCGCGCGGCTCGGGAGCGCGGCTCCCTACCGGCTCAGCTAAAAGGGATCCGGGGGGCTTCCCCTCTGGATCTGGCTCAGCTGCGTTGGTCCCTCTGCCCCACTTACCTTAGGGGGATCAGCTGCTGCTGCCCCCACTGATGCAACGTTCGCCTCTGCTGCTGCTGCTGCATTCGCCTCTGCTCCGGGTCTGGTAAGGGGGCACACGTGCGTGCGGGACACACATGTGCCTGGATCCCTCATCTCCCCGCTGCTCCTGGCTCCCTCGCTTTCCTTATCTTCTCCCTACGAATACGAGCTATACTTATATATTCCTCCTTAGTGACTACTCCTCCTTGCTGACTACCCCTTGTTCCAACTGTCTGTAAGCCTCGTTTTTCTTTTCTAAGCACTCCTTGACTCCTCTGGTAAGCCAAGAGGGCTCCCAGCCTCTTTACCACTTTTCCTGCATACAGGAATGGGCCTTTTCTGCATTCTGAGGATCATTCCCTTAAGGAACAACCACTGTTCCTGAACTCCCCTCCAGTCCCTCTTCCCATAGGGTCTCTCCCACTGTTTTCCTAAGCTTGTTGAAGTCAGGCTTCCTGAAGTCAAACACCTCTTCCCTACTGGCTGACTTCCCTGCCCTATGGTGGCTAGTGAATTCTACCATCTCATGATCACTGTCTCCCAGATTCCCCTCAGTTCTCCCACCAGGATATCCCCTTTGGCTAGAACAAAATACAACAAAGCCTTCTCCCTGGTCAGCCTGGTCATCTCCTGGACTAAATAAAGTTCTTCTGTGCAGCTCAAAAACCTATGTGACCAGTCAAATCTGGCTGAGTGCTTCTCCCAGCAGATGTCAGGGTAATTGAGGTCATCCATGACAGCCATATCCCTTGAACATGCAGCCTCCATCAGTTCTCTGGAAAATTCCAGATCCAACTCCTCCTCCTGGTGTGGTGGTCTGTAGTAGATGCTTACCATCAAGACCCCTTCTCCTTGTCCTCCCCCCCGCCCCCATATCTTGACCCACAGGGTCTTGAGTAGCCCTTCTCTTGAACCAATTTGGATCTCCAAGGAGACATACCACTCCTTTACATAGAGACCTACACCTCCTCTCTTCTTCCCTTCTGTGAAGCCTGTAGGTCTCTATGCATACAGCACATTCATGCATGGCATCTCACCAGTTTGACTATCTCCTGACTTGCATTCCTGTCTGTGCACTCATCCCCCTGACACACCTAGTTTAAAGCCCACTCCAGCAAGTCATCCATCCAGTTTCTTCCCTCTTGGTGTGAGGTGGATGCCATCTCTTCCCAACAAACCTCTATCTTGGAACAGTGTTCCATGATCATAAAAGCTGAAACCTTCACTGTAGCACCATCTCCTGAGCCTCCAGTTGATCTCCTCAATACAGCTATCTCTTCAGGGGCCCCAACCCCTGACTGGGAAAAGAGAAGAGAAAACCACCTGCACTCCCAAACCCTTGAGCCCAGCCCCCAACCTCTTGAGCCCAGAGCCTTGTAGTCACTCATGACCCACCCAGGCAGCAGATGTCCCATGCAAAGGGATCTGCAAAGTAAGTAAAGTATGTGCTCTCATAAAAACAACATTCATCACAAAACCCCACGTTATTTAAATCTATACTGACCAGAGAGAAGTGGTATAGCAGCCAAATGAGAATCCATGGAATCCAAAGACCTACAAGTTCATGCCCTTGAAGGTGAGGATTTTAATATCTAAAGCAGCAATACTGGGAACCTCAGAAAGAGAAGCCACTTTGAAGTTAATTAGCTATAAAGTGGATCTTCTTTTCAGATGACTGTTTGGGCTCTTTGATGGGGGAGTTCACTTTACCTAGTCTCTGGCTGTAACAAAGATCATGCAGGACAGGGCACATCAGGTTGGCACCTAATTCAATGCATGAAGAGTGAGGATAAGGGCGCCTTCTGAGTGGGGCCCAAATGAGCAGATAGAAAGCCACATTTAGTGATAGGTTTTGTCTTCTTTGTACTGCCCTTGAGATGCAAAGCAACCATAAACCCAGCTTAACTGGAGCAGTGCAAAACTGCCAGGGTAGTAGCAAATCTGGCCCATGATTTCAATTGCCCTCACAGAGGCAATGCTTTTGCAACCTTGGAACACAGAATTAATATCCTTCCCTCAGTGCATTGAAGGGAGAGCACACTTTTAGTTGCTTTATGGTCCATTCAAAGTAAAGAATCCAGGTATAGTTTTCTTACATTTTCTTACAAGGCTCTGTTTTTATTATGCTTCTTAAAGTGAACTGGACCTCAGTTATACCATGCATGGAGAAAGAAAAAAAATGAAAGTAATTTTTAAAAAGCAATTTTTTAAAAAGAAAAAAAAAGCTTTATTTCTGATTATCTGCTGTCTAGCACAAAAGTGGATTTTCATCAATAATTTATTTGTTAAGTTTCAGAAGTTTTATCAGATAAAGTTCATATTTTGAGCTTTATAAAACCCCATATAAAAAGTTGTGATTTTTTTTATTATTCAGTACTTATGAGCTGTTTTAACATCTTTATAGATTTACTACCTTTCAGATTATAATGCCAAACACAAGGTTTATTGTCAAATAAACCATCATTTTGTTTTTTTGATTGCCTAGTTTGGAAAATTATTGCTTCTCTCCTATAATTGCATGTACCAAATCATTTAACTGGTTGCTGGGATCTAATTCTGGAAAGTGTCCCATCTAGAAAATACATAAAAATTGAAACAGTAAGTCCAGCTGGCAAACATGGACTAAAACTTAGATTGAAGGTTGTTTAGAATAAAAAACCCTAATAACAGTAACAAAAAGAAACAAACAACAAAGGAATTGTCCATCCTAATGTGTTTAATATTCCTTTGGGATCCTTTCCAGTTTTGAAGTTGCTGCTGACAAAAGCTCTATAGGTAAAAGCTGCACTAAGTCCATAAGAATGTATCCTCAAACATCTATGTGTTCTATACAAAGCTATAATAGTATAGCATATAATAATATAATTATAATAATATTTTATTATTATAACATAAGATCATAATAATATAATTATTTATATACCTAACTATTATTACATCCCCCTGCCCAGTGGATCTCCCTGAACTGCATGTCAGTTCACCACTATGTTTTCATCATATGACCTTTTCTCAAAATTTCTACCATAGAGGAGCAGCTTTTATACACAGGCAGACCTGCACAGAAGCCTGCCAACAACAGATGCTAAAAGAGGCCTTTATTTACTAGACTTAGGCTACATATCCTTCTGGGTCAGCCCACCCGTATTCGGGCAGCCCTTTTCCTTTTAGGCCCCCTCTAGTGCAGAGGTGAAAGTTAGTCTTCTGTCTCCCTCTAACTGGGAGCCTTTGTGAGGGTCTATGTCATGAAAGACTGGCAGGGACACTGAAGGCATAGGCTGTCTATACATGTGCTTGGAAGCAGGGGTGGGGAGGGGAGCAGGGAGTGGGGAAAAGACTTGAAAGCCTTGGAGCTTCAGTCCCTTCCCTTTGGCAGTGGTTAGCAGGCTGGAAGGCTTGCACTAGTGCCTCCCAGCTTCTGGCCTGAACCACTGCAGACATGTGGCTGCATTTCCTGAATCAAAAGTGAACATCTGTTCACTTGCTTCTTGGTTTAATCTCTACAACTTAGACTAACCTGCAAAGACTGAATTGATTCAGCCTCAGGCTTTTTGACTGTCTGTACTTAGCCTAAAGCTTACTTTAACTTACTGTGCAGTAACTCCACTGTGCAGTCTGAAAAAGAATGGGTCTCTGCATCAGCTTCAATCAGTGTGACTATCAGTGATCAGTTGGTTTCTTCCTACCTGATCCATCTCAAGGAGGGGCTTATTTGGAACAGAATCTCTTGGTCCTGATCTCAGAAAGGCTGGTTAAGAAGACAGTCCTGCCCCTCACCCCATCCAGGTTCCAGAAGTAGTGATGCTGGTGCCTGTGTACCCCACTCTGATTACTTGCTGACTGGCAACCCTGCTCTCTGGAGTAGACAGCACAGGCTAGTCCAGGGCTGCAAAGCATGCTGAGATGCTGGGGGATTCTGATTTAACTTGAACCAGGAAGAGGTCTGAGACAGAAGTTTTATAAACTGGTTTGACTTAAATCAGTTAAGTCTGATGCTACTTATGTGCACTGAACTTCTGTTCTCTTACAGGTTTAAACCGGTTCCTGCTTATTGAAACTGGTTTATGTGTAACTTTTGTGCCTAGCCTTAGAGTCTGTAGTGTGTCTATGGCTAGATAAAAGGGGTGTGTGAAAAGTATTCATGAATTTGATCCCTGGCAGCCAGCCAGGTCTTACTTAAGTCAGCCTCTTACTAGGCCATAGTACAGAGCCAGTGCAGTTCAGAAGGTCACACAGGAGCTTTAATTAATGGCTTATTTCAAGTGCTGTATAGAAATCCTTGACTGCTTCTTTACTTACTTTTCAAATTCAGAATCCTTCATCCTGAAGCAATTAATCTAAAAAATCCATCTTAACTCATGCTGCTGTATTTTTCCTGTTTGGTTATAGTCAACAAGTCTACAGGTCCTGATAATGCTTTTCAATTTCTTAGAAATCTGGAAATTACAAATGATCCAAGCAAGAAACAAATATTGACATAACTAGAAATGCAGGTGTTGGACAGATTTGCTAATACACAAAGAAACCCATTTTATACCTCTTTCAATAATGTAAAAAATACCTTTGTGAGCACTGTGGGAAGTTTTGCAAAATGACTGTAGGAGAAATAAATACTTTACATTTACTGAATGTTTTGAAGGCAGTTTCCTCTGTAAATGGCATTGGTAAAGTTAAAAACTCTTTTAGGCCAACCAGTGGATTTCAAATACTAGTGATTCTTTTTAAGCAGCAAGTTAAAAATATCCTCCTCCAGGGATTGAAACCCAAAGATTTGTTAGAAACCAAATAATGAAGATTGTGGCAGGTCTGCTTTTCATGGGTATTTGTATGCATTAGATATCAGCAAATAATTTGTATCCCACATAAAGGAGGGTGAATCTCTCATTTTTCACTTCAAATATTTTCCAAAATTAAGACGTTAAAAGGCTTTTGTTTGATTAGGTTTGAGGTTGAAATTAAATGATATATACAGGTTTGCTAATGAAAATGGTAACTATAATCCCTTTCTCCTTCCCTATTAAAAATCTATGCAAAATCTCAGCCTGAAAATGTAGCTATACACAGAAGCGACAGTAACAGTAGCATTGTGTGTATTGTTTTCTAAATAAAATTTTTCAGCTCACACATGCAAAAGCTTATTTCAAAATGTCACTCTTTTTCACTGGTATTCCTGAAAAATCAACTGGGGAATTGAATGTCAAGCTGCGCTGTTTCTGGCTGAAACAATACCAACAGTAATACAGAGTCTGCAAAAGCTACTCAGTTTCCCATTCTGATGATGGTTCATGTGCCTGAATACAATCCAGCTCAGCTGTGTATACCCTGCAATACCAGTGGTAGTATAAGGTAGCAAAACCTTGGTGAAATCCTGGCCCTACTAACTTCAGCTGGGCTAGAATTCACGCTTTGTTGTTTGTTTGGTTTTTTACTGCAAAGGGCCTGATTCTGAACCTCTTATTCCATTGCTGGAGCAGTTACCCCAGGAGTCAGTAAACTTGCTGCAATGGACTATTTATGGTTATAACTGACCACCAGCATAAGAGAGGGTCCCACAATCTAGCCTGGGGTAGGCAACGTTTTTTGGTCAGAGTGCCAAAAACTCCCACAATTCCTACGTTGTTCGTGCCAGAGTGCTGGCATGCCAGAAAAACAAAATGAGGGCAGGGGTGTACATGGCAGGATGCCCTGTGTGTGCCCCTTGCCCCCCAGCCAAAGACCTCGGGGCAGGCTGCACTGCCCCAAGGTGCGTGCACGGTCACCACCAGCACGGAGCTGATGCTGGAGCTGTGGAGCCCAGCACAGTTGTTTGCAGCCTGCCCGCTGCTTCTTGTAGCTGCCCAGAGCCTGAGCTAGCTACAAACAGCTGCATCGGGCTCTGGAGCCCAGTCACCAGCTCCGTGCAGGGGAGATACCGGGGTTGTGCTGCCTCAGGCCCCTCCCCGACCTCCCACTCCGACACACAGGTGCACGTGCTGGTATGGAGCTGATGCCGGGGCTCCAGAGCCCGGCACAGCTGTTTGGAGCCTCCTGGCTGCAGCCAGCCACAGAGCCCAGGCTGCTCCCAGCAGGCAGCTGGAATGCTGCAAGCCCTGCTGGGAACAGCCCAGGCTCCAGCAGCTACCCAGAGCCGGGGCTGACTGTGGCACGCCGAGGAAAATGGCCTTGTGTGCCATACTCGGCATGCGTTCTGGGGGTTGCCAACCCCTGGTCTAGCCCAATATAAGCAGCTATGATTCAAGACATGAAGTTAGACTGTAACCACCCTTCAGCAGTTGTGGATAAAATGGGATGACGAAAGGTGACAAAGCTTTGAATTAAGACAAAGGAAGAAAAATAGTTTTTGCTCATGAAAGAATTGTTTTTCACTACTGTGAATATTTAAGACAAGATGAGACAATTTCAAATAGAAAACAAGACTAGCAAAAAGACAGAAATTCTTCTGTTTTGTTGTGGCTGGAAAAACATTCCCAAACATTCTCATCTCGCATATCCCCAAGCCTTTTCATGAATAAGGTAGTTTAGTAGCACTGATTCATGCCTAGAATGGGATAAGTGAATGGTCAAACATTGGATTTCAAAGGCTACAATTTTGGGTGCCTGTAGACATGTGGGACAACTGCTCCAATGCGCTGTAATTACAGAACATCAGAACATATTCAATTAATTAGGTCTGCTGAAGTGTGCTAGTTAGCATTTTCCAGCAGCCTCAGCATGTTATGTGTTCAGTGTCCCCACAGTTCAAAATGGCAGTGGGGGAACTTTAACTGAAGCTCATTGAATGAGTTTTAGCTAACACACCCCCATCACCATTTTGAAGTGCAGGATGCTGAATACACAAAATGCTGCGGATGCTTTGATTAGGGCAGCTCCTGAGACCCATTCTAATTAAAGCGCCCCCTTCCCTCCCCATCCCCAGAACATGTGTACAGATGCCAAAGGTACCTTTCCCAGCAACTGTGACTCAAACATTCATCCTTGCACTTTAGATAAAGTGAGCCCCGTGAAGTTGACTAGACTGAGATCTTCCAGCTGAGACCAGAGAAACAATGCTCCTGCTTGTTCTCAATGGACAGTAACAACTGGGGTGAAATGGCAGTGTTCTGTTTCGACCAGCGTTTTGACATTTCAACAGAACAGCACTCCATTTTGATTTTTGTTTCACTTTGGAACAGCTATTCTGTTCTGTTGAACAGTTTTGCCATGTTTCGACGTTTTGCCTGTGGGATATAATGGGGAAGGTGTGGCTGCCTACAACTTTATCAGGGGCCAGCAGCAGGGACTCGGGGAAAGTCTGTTCACCAGGGCCCCCCTTGGAGTCACCAGGAACAATGGCCACAAGCTGAGGGAGGATAGGTTTAGGTTAGATATTAGGAAGAACTACTTCACTGTAAGGGTGGCCAGAGCCTGGAATAGGCTTCCCAGAGAGGTGGTGCTCTCACCTTCCCTGGAGATCTTCAAGAGGAGACTGGATAGGCACCTGGCTGGGGTCTTATGACCCCTGCCACCCCCAG